TGATGTTGATGGTGTCCCGATGATGATAATGATGATAATAACGATGTTGATGATGATGTTGCTCATGATGATGATGGTGCCCCGATGAAGATGATGATGTTGTTGATGATGATGATGTCGATGATGATGATGCGATGATCATGATGATGATAGTGTCCCGAGGATGATGACGATGTTGATGATAATGTTGATGATGAGAACGATGGTGATCATGATGGTGTCCCGATTATGATGATGATTCTGATGATGGTGCTGACGATGATGACGACGACTGTGTCCCGATGATGATGATGATGTTGATGATGAGATGATGATGGTGATGATGATGATGATGTCCCGATGATGATGATGCTGACGTTGATGATGATGTTTATGATGATGATGCTGACGGTGCTCTCATGATGATGTCGATGTTGGTGATGATGTTGATGTTGATGATGTTGATGATGATGATGATGACGTTGCTTGTGAGAGCGATTGTGATATCGGTAGTGATATCGATAGTGAGACCGAATGTGAGATCGATTGTGTAATCGATTGTGAGATCGATTGTGAAATCAATTGTGAGATCGATCGAATGAGATGGATCGAGTGATATCGATTGTGAGATCGATCGAGTGAGATCGATCGAGCGAGACCGATCGTGAGATCGATACTGAGATCGATAGTGGGACCGATCGAGTGAAACGTTGGTTCCCCCCCCCCCGAACCTCATTATCACCCGAAGGGTGGTCGTATAGGTGTATATATATATATGTTTTGGGGGCACCCCAATTTGAAATCCTTACGAAGCCTTATGTGTTTGAGAGACCGGCATGCGCGCGCGACGACGCTCGCGCATGCACTTCGCCCCGTCTGTTGCAAGGAATTCCTGACGTTTTATATTATATGATAAGCGAGCGCGCGCACTAATTTTTGCAAGGTGTGAAAAGGGGAAAAGGCCGATACCTGTTTAGCTGGGGTGATATGAACTCATACGGGGTGATCCAAATTCTCCTTTAGAGGGAGAATGGAATTCTGCTCGCAATGAACTGCCGATTCCAATGCTCGCGCAAGCATCCCACCCGCCCACCCGCAACTTCGTTTGCAAAACCCATGCGGCAGCGATTGCGATGAGTGCTCGGTGTTGGCTGGTGCATCGGCCGCGCTAGCACGCGCATGCTCGCGCGCGCAGGGGCCAGCTAGTTTGGCGCGACCGACGCGGCCGTGGTGGCGCTGACCGCTGGGCACATCCCACCGGGCACTTCACTGCGAGTCGGTGACTTGGGCGGGCGCGGTATCATGGTAACGTCGACAGTGGTAGACACGATGACGATAGCAGCGGTGCCGGTGACGATGGCGACAACGGCGACGGCACGGCCAGTGACGGCGCCGCTGCTGATCGCGCCGACGACGATGGCGGCGCCCTCGCGTCGGCCATGAAGGCTTTGGACTTTGAAAGGAGACATGCGCGCGCGGTCGACGCGCGAGACTGGCCCGCATGTCGTTATTTGACGCGGATCGTGCCGCCCCGAGCACGCGCGCAAAGGTGTTCGAGTGAATCCGTTTGGTAACATTTGTTCAACATGTTGAACAACTTATCGCTTTTTGAAAGAACTCGCAAGAGCGCGCGCGCAAGCTTGTTTTGAAACTCCTTGTAGCGAAACCTTTGTGTTGTCATATGGGTTCGGGGCGCTCGACTTTGAAATCTTTACGAGACCTACGGTTTTGAAATGATTTCGGCACGCGCGCGCAACGACTCGCACGCCTGCACTTCTTCCCGCGCTTCGCAAAAGGATTCTTGACAAATGCATATTGGTTGTTTAAAGAGCGCGCGCGCATAGTATTACTTGACAGGGGTGAATGGGGGGTCTATGCTGGGATCGCCTGGGGCGGTATAAATTGTAGCATGGACGATGGGGCAAAATCACATGCAACTTGCAAAACGAAAAAAATAAGCTGGCAACCCCGGGGGCGAAAGAATTCACCAACAATGCTCGCGGTAAAATGTCGACTCCACTGCTCCCGCAATCCTTCCATGCGACGGCGATTGCGATGAGTGCTTGGCGTTGGCTGGTGTTTTTTCGCGGCCGCGCTAGCCCGCGCATGCTCGCGCGCGCAAAAACCAGCTCGTGACCGACGCGGCCGCGGTGGCGCTGGCGACTTCCAGCTGGCACTTCAATGCGAATCGGTAACTTAGGCGGGCGCGGTATCATGGCGACGCCGACAACGGTAGACGCGGTGATGAGAATATGTTGAACACGCCCGCCGATAACGATGACGATATCCTCGCGTTAGTGATGAGTTCGGCATGCGCGCGCGGCCGACGCGCGCGAGTGGCCCGCATGGTCTTATTTGACACGGATCGTGCCCCCCCCCCCCAACACGCGCGCAAGGGCGTTCGGACGAGTTCGGCATGCGGCGCGAGAGGCCCGCTTGGCACAAGTCGATGACAATGTTGAACAAACGATGGTTTGTGTAAGAGTTCGCAGGAACGCGCGCGCGCAAGCTTTCTTGAAAGCGGGCGTTGCACAACCATGTGCTTGTATACGTCTTCGGGACACTCGGTTTTGAAATCCTTACGACGCGCGACGACGCGCGCGCGTGTGCACCTCGTCTCATGGTTTGCAAGGGACTATTGCGACAGAGCGCGCGCAAACGCGTTCGAGCGAGTTCGACACGCGCGCGCAAAATGCCCGTTTGGTAGCATGTTATGCACATGTTGAACAACCAATGCTTATCTTAAGAATCTGCAAGAACGCGAACGCCAGTTTTGTTTCGACACCCTTGTTGCGAAACCATATACTTTATATGAGTTCGGGACACTCGATTTTGATTTTTTTGCGAAACATCTGAAATATGGCAGCATTTCGTCCCGATTTTGCATGGGATTCTTGAAAACTAATGATTTGTGATTAACGAATGCGCGCGCGTAGTATTATTTGCAAAGGACGAAGGGGGGACCGTTACCGGCTTGGCTGGGGTGATGTGAAGTCATACTTCGGATGGGCGATCTGGCAGAATCGTAAGCAAATTGCAATACGAAAAAGGGGAGCGGTTGAATCGGGGGGGGTCGATCCTCATACTCCTGTTAGAAAGGATTCAACGTGGTGCAATCATTGTGGTGCAAGCTTTGTGATGCACTCTACGTGGTGCAATCCATGCGGTGCAAGCTACGCAGCGCAATCTTGAGGCGACGAGGCGGCGACGGGGCGGCGACAGTGACGACACAGCCGCCGCGCCAAGTTTCAGGCCCAGACGACGGACGGCGATGAGGATCGGAGGCGACGGGGCGGCGACGGGTCGGGGACTAAGCCGCCGTACGAAGTCTCAGGCCCAGACGACGGGCGGCGACAAGGCGGCGCCGGGGCGGCGACGGCGGGGACATGGCCGCCAGACCAAGTTCCAGGGGCCAGTTCCTCAGGAGACAACCAGGAGCCCCATGAGTACGAGCACCGTTTGGGGAGTCTGCGGTGCACTCTATGTGGTGCATGCAGCGTGGTGCAAGCTATCGACCGCAACCTGCGTGGTGCAATTCCATGCCGATGGTGCTGCAAGAAACGTCGTGCGCCCTGCGGGTCGCCAGCTGCGCGGAGCCACGGGCGAAAACCCGGGCACACCCTGCCGCCAACGCGCGGGGCGCCTGCGAAGTTGAGGGGGAGGAGGAGGAGGAGGAGGAGGAGGAGGAGGAGGAGGAGGAGGAGGAGGAGCAGGAGGAGGAGCAGGAAGATGAGGAGGCGCCCACCGTGCGAGACCACCACGCACCCACCCGATGATCACGATGAGAGCGCAAGCAGGGACCCGCAAGTGCAGGCAAGCACTGTTCGGGGAAGGCCAGCTGCTGAAATCCTGCGCGAGAAAAAGAAAACAGCACGCGGGAGAAGTGGGAGCACCCCTGCACGCTGAGATACCCTCAAAGAGGGACCCGAGAGGTTAACATCACCAAATCTCATGAAGCTGTTCAATGTTTTTCGCGTCGTCGTGGTCGTGGTCGTGGTCGTGGTCGTGGTCGTGGTCGTGGTCGTGGTCGTGGTCGTGGTCGTGGTCGTGGTCGTGGTCGTCGTGGTCGTCGTGGTCGTCGTCGTCGTCGTCGTCGTCGTTATCGTCGTCGTCCCCCTTCAGGGTCGGCGGCACCGGCCGTACGGCCTTCGGAATCCTGCGTGAAACGCAACACGCGGGAGAGGTGGAAGCACCCGTGCATACTGCTGGGGGGGAGAAACGAGAGTAGCACGTACAGTCAGACCTAGGCCAGAAGAACATCCTTCAAGAACATGAGGCCCTCCGTCGGCCAAAACACACAGAACATCTAAGGGTACCCTTCCCAGGAGGCACAAGAGAATCCAACAGACACGAAGATCACGAGGGTACCCTCCTCGAACCGACCTCGATCTCATACCTCGGTCCTACATCGAACGGCTGCAGAAAAGGGGGGCCGAGCTACTTTCACGCTGCTGATCTCCCAGGTGCCCAGGTCGCTAGGAGCGGCCCTGTGCAGAGGAAGGCGCCTTGCGGCGGAGCTGAAAACTGCCTGCGCGCAGCAGCTGCAAGAGCCGTCTACGTGCCCTTCCTGTGCCAAACCCTTGGCCTTGCCAAGCCCTCTCCAAACTCCTGGACACTCTTTTCCAGACACCCCGCGCTCCAATGTCTTTGATGCGTGGGCCCCTGGAGGCCTGCACAACTTCCACAGAGCCGGCTCTTCATCCTGACTTGTTTTTTGACGATCCGAGGGCCCGCTGAGAGCCCCCAGAAGCAGAAACTGCAAATTGGGGGAACCAATAGGCACCGATACCGCTACTCCCCGGACCTCTCTGGGAGTGCGTTCTGACCCGGATTTCGAGGCAAATCTAGCGGTGGCAACGAGGGCATCCGAGGAGGCCGACAAAGGGGGAAAAAGGGTGAGGGCTAGCGGTATGGGTACCATTTCCTTTGAACATTAGCCAAAAGCTGGCCGCTTTGTTCGGAGCCTCGGATCTCTGGGTTGCCCCCCTCTCCCAGCGCTGTCCGTCCGCCCGCACCCGATCCTCCAGCACGGCGGCCAGGACCTCCCCGAAGGCACGGCAGGCCTGCAGCTGCAGGAAGGGCCTGAGGGGGAAACGAGAGGGCGGGTGTGGGGAGGATGAGGATGAGGATGAGGATGAGGAGGAGGAGGAGGAGGAGGAGGAGGAGGGGGAGGAGGAGGAGGAGGAGGAGGAGGAGGAGGGGGAGGAGGAGGAGGAGGGTGTGGGGGCGGAGGGCGACGGCGTAGTGCCATGGACCAGAGAAAGGACATCATCACATCCAGTCTTGCCTACCTCACTTTGGTGTCGAGGCGCGAACCTGCTTCCTTACAAGGGGGGGGGGGGGCGGTCCTAGGTAGGAAACATGGAGCTCGAGTCGGCGATGCATCGCCGATCGAGCGGCGATAGGCCCAGAGACCCCACGTTCCTGGGCGGTGTGGGCCACCACCGGCCATGAGCGGGCGATGGGAGGGCGATGCTTCCCCCACTGGACCAGTCCCTCCCTGTCGTCGCCCTCTGGTTTTCGGGCCATGGCTCGGACCTCAGGCGGCCGCTCGAAACGACGCGGGCACCGGGCACCTCAGGGGGAACCCGTCGACGGGCCCCAGAGGCCAACACGGGAGAACAAAAACTCCGCGACTGAGACACCTCATCGGCGGCGGGGGGGGGGAGCGGGGACGGTGCGCACAGAAAGCTGGCGGGCGCAGCCACCAGAAAGCACCCCGAGGCTGGATGTCGCCGCCGAAGACCAGCGAGCGCGTCCGAGCACCTCGAGGCGAGGCCTCCTGGCCCATGGGCCAGGCGAGCCTCTGTCCCCCCCGGGGCCCCCAAGAATCCGACGGCGACTTTTGCCCAACGCGCGGCCCCAGAGGCCCCGGCCCCCTGGGAGCGTTTTTGTTCTTCGGCGTTTCGACGTTGGGCGGACATGGGGGGGAGCTAGGAGGGGGGTTCTGGCTCCGGGCCTCTGCTGAGCGCGACTGTTTGGAACAGGGCGTCCATTATGGGGGAGGCCCCACCTGCTCGAAACAGGCGCAACAAAAACAGCCAAGATCGACTCCAAGGGGAGGGAGGGAGGGGTGGACGAGGACCCACGCCGATCGGCAAAACAATGAATAAAAAACGATCACCTTCTTGGTAGTCCCCAAACGTGGTGGTGACAACACCCAGCGGGGAATCTGGCGATTTGGTGTCACCATCCGGTTTGGGGACTCGAGCGGCTTTCCGAGGATGTCCCGGACGCTGGTGGGCCCAGGAGTCACAAAGCCCAGCTGTGACCCCGTGTCCCAAAACCCGGCGGTGACTGTTTGGGGATTCCAGGTCACCACCTGATATCTCACCATCTGGTTTCGGGGCTCCCAACCTTCCCCAGCTGCCAGTTTGTCGCCCCGGATATCGGAGGTTGGGGGATGAGATCGCGGTGGGACGGAGAGCCCCCACCGGGAAACCAGTTTCGGGTTCGTGTTCGTGTCGTGCGCGCGGGCGAGGCGAAGCTGCGTGGGCGCGCGAGAGGAATGAACCCGCCGTCGCTAGGGCGATTCGGATGCAGTGGACCGCCCCTCCGGTCGCAGTGGGCGCGCGGTGGCCCGGGGTGTCCCGCCATGGTGTCCTGTGGTGTCCCGTTGGTGTCCCGTGGGTTTCCCGTCGATGTTCTGTCGGCGGTAGGCGGGCGGTGGCTGGGGGTGTCCCGCCTTGGTATCGATAGTGAAGTCGAAAGTAAGATCCATAATGAGATCGCTAGAATGGGATGGATAGTGAGATCAAAAATGAGATCGGCAGTGAGGTTGTTTGTGATATTGGTTGTGAGATCGATCGTGAGATCGGTAGAGGAATCGATCGTGAGATCGATAGTGCGATCGATAGTGAGATCGAAAGCGAGATCTATAGTCAGATCTACCTATACGACCACCCTTCGGGTGACAAGGAGGTTGTGGGGGGGGGAGCGGGGGGGCAACAAACATCAGACTCAATCGATCTGACTATCGATCTCACTCAACGGGACACCACGGGACACCACGGGACACTTGTCGATCTCACTATCGATCTCACTATCGATCTCACTCAACGGGACACCACGGGACACCACGGGACACCGCGGGACACCTGGCGATCTCAATATCAGTCTCACTATCAATATCACTATTGATGCCAATATCGATCTCACTATCGATCTCACTCAGCGGGACACCACGGGACACCACGGGACACCGCGGGACACCTGGCGATCTCACTATCGGTCTCACTATCAATATCACTATTGATATCACTATCGATCTCACTATCGATCTCACTATCGATCTCACTATCGATCTATCTATCGATCTCACTCAACGGGACACCACGGGACACCACGGGACACCGCGGGACACCTGGCGATCTCACTAACGGTCTCACTATAGATCTCAATTTTGATCGCACTCAACGGGACACCATAGGACACCATAGGACACCACGGGACACCTGCCGATCTCACTATCGACCTCACTATCGATCTCACTTTTTGGCACACCACGGGACAACTCGGGGCACCACATCGATCTCAGTATCGATCTTACTATCGATCTCACTATCGATCTCACTGTCGAACTCACTATCGATCTCACTATCGATCTCACTATCGATTTCACTCAACGGGACACCACGGGACACCACGGGACACCGCGGGACACCGCGAGCCACCGCCAGACGGACGGACGCACGGAGGAGCAACATTGTCTTGACTTCGCCCTAGCAACGGCGGGTTCATTCCTCTCGCGCGCCCGCGCAGCTTCGCCTCGCCCGCACGCACGACACGAACGCAACGAAACGATTTCCTGGTTGGGGGTCTCCGTTCTACTGCGATCTCACCCCCCAACCTCCGATAGTGAGATCAATGGTGAGATCTACAATGATATTGATCGAGTGTGGTCGAAAGCGGGGACGATAATGACATCACATCGCAGCGCAACATCGTCATCACGGGTCGTCGCCAACTCGACGGCGCGTCACCAGCATCGTCATCATCACACCCGTCGCATTTGCCAGCAGTTGGTTCATTTCCCACCACCACCCAACCTCCTTATCACCCGAAGAGTGGTCGTATAGGTATGTTTGACGGTCCTGGGGCCTGGCGAAGGCGCCCAAGAGGGCAACAACGGCCAACACCTACCGTCGTGTTTTTGTTTCACGACGCGAGGTTCTTGCCCTCCCCTATCCGCCGTCGGAGGTGAGAGGGTGAGATCGCAGTGAAACGAAGAGCTCCCACAAGGGGAATCGGTTTCGGTTTTGTTTTCGTGTCGTGCGTGCGGGCGAGGCGAAGCTGCGTGGGCGGGCGAGCAGAATGAACCCTCCTCTGGCTAGCGCGCCGCCGGGCCAAAAGTCCGCCCCTCCAACCCGGGTTGGTGATGTCCCGATGGTGTCCCGTGGTGTCCCGCGGTGTCCCGTGGTGTCCCGCGGTGGCCCGTGGTGTCCCGTCGGTGTCCCGTCTGTGTTCCTTCGGTGTCCCGTTGGTGTCCCGTAGTGAGGTCGATAGTGAAATCGATCATGAGACCGATAGTGAGATCGATAGTGAGATCGATAGTGAGACCGATAGTGAGATCAATAGTGAGATCGATAGTGACATCGGTAGAGAGATCGATCGTCAGATTGATCGTGAGATCGATAGTGAGATCGATAGCGAAATCCATAGCGATATTGCAAGTAAGATCGATAGTACGATCGATAGTGAGATCGATAGTGGGGTCGAAAGTGGGACCGATGGTAAGAGGGACAGGGACAGCGGGATCGATTGCGAGATCTATAGTGGAATCGATTGTTAGATCGCTCTTGAGATCGATAGTGAAATCGATAGTCAGGTCGACAGTGATGTCCCATCGGTGTCCCTCGGTAAATTGGATAATGAGATCGGTAGTGAGTCGATAGTGGGACCGATAGTAGGATCAATAGCGAGATCAATTAGTGAAACTGATAATGAAATCGATCGTGATATCGTTAGTGAGACGAGTAGTGGGATCGATAGTGACATTGATAGTGCGATCGATAGTGAGATCGATTGTGAAAACGATTGTGAGATCGATGCTGAGATTGATTGTGAGATCAATTGAGTGAGAGGTAGGTTCCCCCCTCCGAACCTCCTTATCACCCGAAGAGTGGTCGTATGGATACTTCGGTTGATTTACCGATGTGGAATTGTGTCGGATATACATCTCGAGCGATGCAACTCAATAGGGCGGACATTTCCGCCTCAGACAAGTAGGGCAGACATTTCTGCACACATATGGCGTAAACAGCGACGCCGAAATAGGGCGGGAATCGGCGTCAGAGAAGATTGAAGTGTGCGGCGGAAGTGTCCGACCTACTTGCGAAATCGCCCAAGGCACGGCGGATCCGGAGTCAGGGCGCTCTCTCTCTCTCTCTCTCTCTTTCTCTCCCTCTCTCTCGCAGGGCTGTCTGAGAGCGGTCTCGGGGCGTCCTGTGGGAGCGTGGGAGCGTCTGGCGGCATTCTGAGGGGAGCACCCGCCGACTCTGGGAGACCCCTGGGGGGAGTCCAGGGTCGTCCTGGGGCACTCTTGGAGCGGCTCCGGGCCGCCCGGGAAGGACGCGGGGCCCGACACGAGGCCCCAGGGCTGCCGCCCCCCCCCCCCCCTTTGCGGTAGCAGTCCGAGCCCAGGCCCACGGCCTGGTCCTCCGCTGTATGTATACGCCCCCCACACTCTCGGCGGATCCGCCGAGAGCGCGGGAGAAAGGAAGAGAAAGGAGGAGAAAGAGGAGGAGGAGGAGGAGGAGGAGGAGGAGGAGGAGGAGGATGCAGAAGCCTGTGGAGACCAGGTCAAGCCTGGGCACAAAACAATCACATCACATCTGAGGGAAACAACCGCCGCTCTTGGGGGCAAGACCCCGTGCCAGACGGGATAGACCTTGCCTCCCAGCTTTAGTAGGAGGCCGGTCAATATCCTTGCAAGGCTGGCCAAGGCCTTCTGCATCAACTAGAGGAACCATCGACTGCATAAGCATACACTTTTGGCGGTCGGCGCAGATTTCTTGGATCCGCGCTGACCTCCGTCCCCCTGGCGGGCGGAGCGCGCCAGGGGCGGTGCCGGAGGCGCCGCC